ATGACTTGAACAGTTAAAGCCTGTCAGTTGGTTCCTCCCTCTGATGCATGCTGGACCTGATCTGGTATTCAACATTTTCTATATTTTTGTTTGTTCATATTAGGGTTTATCTCAGATGTGTTATTTCATTGGGAGTCACCCTCTGGTCGTTGTGTTATATATTTTTCTGTTTTGAGGTATATAAAACCCAGGATTGGTGAACCTATAGGGACAGCAAGTAGAATAAGGGTTTTGTTGGGGGGTGCAGGGGATAGTGGTGATGGGAGGGTATAAAAGGGAAATGATGTCAAGGAGTCCAGGAAGGAAAGGAATGCTGGGAAACTAGTTGTGGTAGCAATTACACAATACTGCTTGATGTGATTGAACTATGGAATGATATGATATACTAACTCCCATTCAAAAGGAAATAAATTTATTTTCTAAAGTTATATGGCTGTCTACTCTTCCATATTGGGTCACTGAGTCAAAATAAACTCATGGCGATGGGTTTAGTTTAAGTATGGACTCAGCATACTGTAGTGGCAGAAACCTTGTACTTCCTGCACCAACTATAGTTAAGATACCTCCCCAGTCAGCTTGCCCCCCTCCTTTATTATAAAAACTAGGAAATGAAGGCTTTAGAAAACTCTGTTGAAACAACAGAGTTCTGGGTTTCAAAGTAACTGAGGTCAGATAGCATCGTGCCATTGATTCTAGAACTTGTAGTGAGTATTGGCTATGAGGCATTGAGTGTAGTAAACTTATAAAGATGACGGGACCTTGTCCTCAAGGACTCGCAATCCACCAGTGCCTAATTTCACCCAACTGGTCAATCCCTATTCATCCACTCAAAGCAAAGCAAGCTCTACAAGTTTAAACTGAAACTTAAAACAAAGAAGTTTTTATTGTGAATTGGGTCAACGTTATAGAGCAGATCATGTTTTACATTCAACAATTTACACACAGTTTGTTTCAACTCATCTGTTGCAATCAGTGTACCCTCATTCCTCCATTTCCTATTTCTACTCCTCCTTCTCTAACTGTTTGCACTTTGTCTTTGGGGAAATGCTACCCCATGGATTCTAAATGGCTCATTGTTCTCACCTGAGGGTGAGTTCTTTTCCAGACCTGAAGGGTGACTAAAGGCCATGGTCTTATGGATGCTCCACCAGTCATTACCTGAGCAGCAAGTCTGGTCTCTCATGATTTTGAGTTTTGTTCCACATAAAATGAAAATGTCTTAAGATACTCTTCTCCATCCTTAATGATACTCTTACACACACACACACACACACACACACACACACACACACGGACACCAACCAACTAAACAAGCAAGCAACAAAATTGCTGTTTCATTTTGTGCCCTCCTGTGGGACAGTGCTAGTGATGTGGCCTCGCTTACAGGCGTTCTTCCCAGAGGCTGTTTAAGAACTGTGGGTTGGCTGTGTTTCTGCTTCCTGCTATCCCCTCCTGAAGTGTCGAAATCTCTGGCTTTGCCACTGGTCACCTGATGAGACCATAGATTATGGTCCAGAGCTGCCACTCCAGGCTGCTGACTTGCTGGGGGCAGCAGGAAAGGCGCTGTAAAAGAAGTGCAGTATAAGCCAGTCCTCACCCAGCCCTCACAGCAGGCCCTCCGCTTAGGTCCCCCTCCCCTTCTTTTCAGGCTTCTGACTAGGGAGGGAGCCAGGGTGTGTGGTGGGTCTGGGCAGGGTTGGAGCCCAGTGGAGGCAGAGTCTGCAGAGGGTGTAAGGCCCAGGGAGGCTGCCTTCCACCCTTTCCTTTGCTGATCTGACCCTTTCTGAGCAGCATGGAGTCTGTGAGTGCCCGCTGGCAGCTCTCCCTCCCTCCCACAGCCCACATCTTTGGTTCCCACAGGCCTCCAGGTGTATGCCTTCTTCGTTTCTACACCCTCCACATGCCCCACCTGTGTCCAGACTTCTAGGGCGCTGCATGCAAGGTAGTGCCAGCGCTTGCCCCTGTTGGAAAAATCTGGGACAAGGGGAGTCTCAGCAGCCCCGCGCGCCCCTGCATCGCGCGTCGTGCCACCAGGAGGCGCGCGCCTCCACTCCGGTCAGCTTGGGACTCAGGTGAGCAGCCAGTGCCCAACCCGGTGCTCGCTGCCCGGGTCTGAGCGCCCCGTGCCCAAGAGACTCAGGTGCAGTAGACTCACGTCTGTGGCGTCCCCGACCGGGAATCTCGTCGTCGTCCCCTCCCCCTTCGCGGCTCCCAGGTGAGGGAGTTCTTCCGTTGCTCTCCTCCTTCTCTCTGTTCCGCGGAAAGGTCCAAGGCACACTGGCTGGAACCTCCTGCATTTGCTGAGGACCAGTCTGAAGACAAGGGCTCAAAAAACGAGGAGAGAATCAGCAATGCGAAGAAAGCCCCCTTGGGGCTCCTTAGACATTCCTGGGTCGAAAACAATTGTGGTCCTTGGGGAGGTGGGGAATCCAATTTGTTCCAAGTAAGTAAGAAGATCCTTCCCTTAGCAGGTTTGGGAAAATGAGAGGGTTTGCCCGATTAGGAGTTCATGTCCACCCTGGCCTGCTCAGTATCTCGGCAGCCCTTTATTCCTGCTTCTGCCTTTTCCCTCTTATTCCTCTCAGATGCCCTAGAAGGAGGGTCCTAGCAGGTACTCCAAGAAGTGCACAAAGGCTCATTTGTGCAGCCCAGGTGGCATAGCGGTTACCCAGTGGGCTACTAACCATAAGGCCAGTTGTTTGAATCCACCAGCTGCTCCATGGGAGAAAAAGGAGGCTTATCTCCTCCCCTAAAGAGTTAGGCTCGGAAATCCAAGGGATTTCGTTCTCCCCTGCCCTGTAGGATCACTGTGAGTTGGAACGGACTCAGTAGCAGTGAGCTTTTCTCTTTGAGAGCCTTTGCGGTGCTGTTTCAGCCTCCCACTTGGAGGTCAGTTTTCCAGGAGTAGTAGTTGACTCTGCTGGTCCCATTAATACGGAAACAGTGCCCGTGTATGTCTGTTCTGCCGGCATTTGAGCCTCTCTTTTCCATGGGAAACCTCTCTTCACCACGCCATGCATTTCCTCTTTCCCCTTATTTCTGGGACGGAGCTTAGATGAGTGTCACACTGGGCACAGAAACCTTGCCTTCTCCTGTCCCAGCCCCACTCTCCTAGCTCTGTGCTCCTCTTTGCTCCATCCTGGGTCCTGAAGTGGAAGTAATCATCTTGGAGCTTCAGACCTCCTGAGTCAACAGTGTTGACTAGTGTTTTCTTTAGCTTTCTAAGGGGCAACTCCTTACTTCTTTCCCTAAGCCCCTTGGTCCCTTTTAATGATTGGAGCTTATAGCTCCTCTCCACTTAAGAGAGTTTAGGACACACTGCCCCTGTTGTCCTTGATGATCAGAGTCCTGGTAGCATCACTTAGAAAGCAAGGCTGCGGTGATGGTTTCTGTTTTTAGAGCGTCAATGCTGAGAGGCCAGATTCTGTACTCGTGGCTAGACAGGAGGGGCAAAGGCCCCCGGGGGTGGAGATAAAGCATTTTTAATAGGGGACATGGTAAAATTCCCACACCTATTTGGCGTAAGTTGTTCTACTCAACCCTCCTTGGCAACTCTCCTTACCAAGTGCTCTAGCGCCATTATCTTTCTCCTCCCATGACTTTGGTGTGGGGTCAAACACCCTCTTTGTGATCCCATACATCTTTCTGTGGAAAGAGGAGCTGTACTGTGATTCCCAAGGAAACCAAAGACTCAAAGTGGGCAGAGCAGACAGATAGACAGGCTCAGAGTCCAGTCTCTATCTTAAGGTATGAATGATACCAATAGAGAGCCAACTACCGATCCTGGAAACTTGTCCTCAATGACGCCATCAGAAGGGGATTCATTACCTCGTATGTTTTTAGCCTCTTCCTTTTTTTTAATGAATACTTGCAAAATCTGTATGACAAAACATTTCCCAAATCAACAATTTTTGTCTGTCCTCTACACTCTTTGGCCTTCTCTTTGAATCCCAGAGAGAGTGACAGTGACTTAATTTTTGCAGGCGTGAAACTGTGGTAGATGAAGAAACCCAGGCTCAGAAGGGGAACTAATCTACCCATGGCCACACAGCTAGTAGACAATTGGTAGCAACGCTGAGTTTTTAAACCTGGTGTTTCTGGATTCAAACTGTATCCTCCCAGTAAAAACTTCACTTTGGTCAGAGTCCAAATCTGGGACTTGATCAGCAAATAAAAGTAAATGCATACAGTTCTAAATCAAAGGGGTTCCAGTGTATGTGACTGTGTGTGCACCTGTGTGTGTACAATGTCTGTGTATCTATGTGGATGCGTGTGGATGTGTTTGCTTCTAGGTGGGAAGTAGGGAGGAGTGGACGTACTGAGAGATTGGCTGGGAAGAGAAAGGCTTCTCAGACGGATAAGTGGCTAGGAAGGTGGTCCTTGGGAAATCCAATGACATTAGGGTTGGTATCAGTAGACCAGAGTTGGGGCCAGGGTCAGTCATGCTTATGAGAGGAATTGAACAGGAAGATAGCTGAGGATCCTGTGCCAAAGAGGCTGAAGGCCAGCTGACTGCACAGCCCTCCGAATTTGGGAGGCTCGGACTCTTTTCTGATCCAGCCTGTCTGTCTCTGTCTCCTGAAGACATGTGGCTCTACCTGGCAGTTCTCATGGGCCTGTATTACCTTCTGCGCTGGTACCGGGAGAGGCAGGTGGTGAGCCACCTTCAAGACAAGTATGTCTTCATCACGGGCTGCGACTCGGGCTTCGGGAACCAGCTGGCCAGGCAGCTTGACCTGCGAGGCTTGAGGGTGCTGGCTGGGTGTCTGACGGAGCAGGGGGCCGAGCAGCTGAGAGCCAAGACATCAGACAGACTGGAGACGGTGATCCTGGACGTCACCCAGACAGAGAGCATCGCAGCAGCCGCTCAGTGGGTGAAGGACCGTGTGGGGGACAGAGGTACCTTCCAGATTCCTGTTGTTTGTGTCTCTTTGATTCTTGTAGTGTGTGACTGGGAGACCTTTCTTCTGCTGCCTGGAGAGATGCCTATGGCTGAATTCCTGTGCTTCAGGGTGAATCCGTACTTGTTCATCTAGATCACCACCCTGCCAGCCCGAACCCCTTCTCTTTCCCACTCTCTCTCCCATCTCAATCCTGGAGCTCGGTAGTTTTAGTGAGTTTGTGCTGATGAGAATTTGGTCTTTCAGAATTCACATCTCTTCTCGCTCCTTCCCCTGTAGCTAAGGTTCTTGATTTATTTGAGTCTGAGCTCCAAGTTAAAGATCAAAGCTGACTTTCTGTCTGTCAGAAGCTTTGAGTGGGAGTTTGAGGAGCCATGCTGGAGCCAGATTCATATTCTCAGTACTGTGTTCTTCTGGAAGACCAGAGTCACCTACGGAGAGAATGATGATAAGCTCCATTTTCAGATGAGTATATGGCACTAATTCCTCCAGCTGCTCAGTGGGAGAAAGAAGGGATTTTCTACTCCTGTAAACAGTCACAGTCTATAAAACTCACATAGGCAGTCTACCCTGTCCTATAGGGATCATTGTGATTCGGCACCAACTCAAGAGCAATGAGTTTGGTTTGACTGAAGGGCCTTCTAGGACAGGGTAAACTGCCATATTGTTTTCAATGCTGTAAATCTTTGTGAAATTCAACTGGTTCATCTTTTTCCAGTGTAGTAAGTAGCTGGTGAGTTCTAACTATTGACTCCAGATTAGCAGTCGGATACTGAATCGCTGAGAAAGGTCAAGATCAAAACGAAATTGGATCACTATTTCATCACCAAGAGATAACAACTGTTGATATTATGACATTTACGGGGTTATATTTTGTATCCTTTTCATTTAAAGAGTAATGAGGAATGTCTGGTACTATATTCCTGATTAGATATTTTTGCCTTAGTTTCTGTTCAGCCCTTGTTGACCCAGGCCACATGCTATCGACTACTGGGACTTTAGACTTTCTCATTTCTAGGCCCATAACGTCCTTCATAGGCTATACCAGAAAGATTTGATGTGGAAAAGCCACTAAGTGAACTGGGTTTTACCTCAAACTCACCTATTGTGAGTTAAGGAAGCAACACCCTCCCTTGGACTTAAGGCTGAACTCCTTAATGTGAGAAGAAGCAGATGACTGTCTCCCCATGTTATGTAATCGGTGGTCATTAGACTTTGGTTTTATCTCCTGCCTTGAGGGTGCCCCAGACTACCATATATTTACAATTTTCATCCCTGCCTTGCTTTCTTATGACATGTATTAATCTGGTACGTATGGTTCTGCCTTTGTGAATGAGTGTTATTGAAAGTTTACCATATCACCAACCCCCATGGTTGTGTAAATAGTGTCTAATCACTTAAGAGTTTAATCTATAAAGTCAGCAAACCAGCCTATACTTTTATTTCCTCTTATCAACTGTGTTTAAAATCTACACCATTCGCTAAATTAATGACATTATCCATAGAAGTACCTTATACCTCCAGGGGATGATTTATAATGTTCTCTATCATAAATGATGATGATGATGTCCCTAAAGTGAACTAGAGACATATATAGACCATAGACATATCAGTGGATTGTGGGCTCACACTTAATTCTAGCTAGAATTAATTCTAGCTAACAAATCTAAGAACAATTTGTTCTTAGTACAGGACCCTACTCGATAGTCACCTTCATGAAGCAGTCACTGAAGATATGGGTACTATAGCAAAGTATGGTAAAGAAACCAGATGGTGCCTGACTATCAGGAAAAAAAATTGTGTCCATGGTCTTAAAGGTTTGTCTTCTAAGTGAGGCGTCAACCAAGCCACATGGAAAAGCACACCCACCTGTATGATCCAAGGATTGTAAATAATAAGATCCAAATCCAAAGGAAAGACTATTAGAGCTTAAATTGTAAACATCTGGTTTACAGAAGGCTATGGTTGATAGTGGAAATCCAAAATCCATTTTCAGGGTGTGTTAGCCCAGGTTGACTAGAGAAACAAACCCAGAGACACTGATATGTGCAAAAAGGAGCTTTATATCAAGAAGCAATCATACATCAAGAAAATATCCACCCCCCAAAAAAAAAGAAAATATCCCAGCCCAGTCCAACTCAAATTCCTAAGTCCAATACTAGTACGCAAGTCCATAAATCTTCAGACCCACACAGTCGCTTGCAATGATGCAAAATGCAGGAAGATAACAGGCTGGTGGGTGGAAATTTGTGTGGATCCAGTGGTGGTGGCCCTGGCAGTAATCAGGGTCAGCCAGCAGGAAGGTGAAGGCAGAAGCAGAGAGAGGGGAGGTTCCCAGGACCCTCCTTATGAGAAGGCCACCCCCATAAGGAGGCCCCATCAGGCTGTGACCTGATTGACAGGCTAAACTCCACCCCTATACTTTTACATGTCTTCAAGTTGACATGAAAGCATGTAGCCACCCCCAGGGTCCTCACATGGATTAAGCCTCCAAAGAATCCCCTCTAACCATAGTAGAGGGAGGTCAATAGCTTTTTTACTAGATAGAGGGTGTTGTAACATTATTATGCATGATGTAATACCTTATCATTTGATCTCCCATTTGACCCATATTCACGTTGTTTCTGTTTTTAAGTTTTTAATTTTTCTTCTTTCTCTTTGATTGAGGTTTTTCTGTTTTGTCTATCTCTGTTGTTGGTTTTTAATTTGTTTGCTTGCTCCTGTTTGTGTTTTCTCTGATTTTCTGTATATGAAATTCAGGATAGGTAGATCTATAGAGACAGTAACTGGATTAATAACTACCTAGAGGTATGGCAGGGGAAGATGGGGGTAAATGGAGAGCTAGCAATGAAAAGAGAATGTTCTAAAATTGATTGTGGTGATGACTGCATGACTCTTCTTAATATGATTAAACCATTAAATTGTATGATACATGAAATACATGCTAATAAAACTATTTTTAAGCGATGAGTTTTATAATATAATGAAAACTTCTACAGAAACTTAATACTTTAGAATTTTCTATTGCTATGAGTCAGAATTGACTTGACAATAGACAACAATAACAACATCCTTTATTCTACCCCCATCCCATTGCCAGCAAAATGGTTCCAACTCAGGACAACTCTATGTGTTCCAGAGCAGAACTTCTCCATCGGCTTTTCTTCGCTGTATTCTTTTACTATGGCATTACGCCTTTAAACAGGACTTGGTTCGCTATTGGAATGGTTTCTTCCATTTTATTGTCTTAAATCACTTTTAAACTAAATATCTATAAACACATACATTGATCAGATGCATCAAATAAAATCATTTTCATGTCCATATGGGCAGGGCATGTTTCTGAGCAGGAGAAGGACTCATCTCTTTGGTCCAGTACTTCCAAACTGGACAGTCACCACCCTCAACCCTAACTCGGCTTAAGGCTGCTCTGCCGCTCTAAAGTCAGTTGGCAGTTAAGTCTGCTGGTCTCAGTGTTCTTACGGTGTGTCTTTCCTCCCAAGCACTTTCTAGAGAAGGTTTTCTGAAACCTGGGTGGCCTAGGGACACAGGGTGGTTAAGGTGGTCATCTGAGCTGGGGACTGGGGGTGGGGTGCAGAGAGTGACATGTTCTGGAGCAGAGGATGTAGTCTGGGCACTAGGGCATGGGGTGAGCATGCCTGGTTTGGGGTCATCCCAGCATGGAAGGCAAAGCTTGCTCTCTGCATAGACGTTGCTCAGTTTTTATGCAAATTGGCTTCAAGGTAGTCCTCTTTTTAAAATGCAGGGCTGTTCTCCAACCTCACCCCAAACTGGGATTTCCAGTCTGTCCTTCCCCCACTCCCCACCCCTCATTGAATATTCATTTGTTTTCTGTGAATATTTCAGCCCTGGTAGGGCTGTGGGCTAGGCAGCACACCCAGCAGCCAGTGCCCAGCAGAAAAATGAAGCTGTCCCCGCCCACAGAGCTACAGTCCCAGAAACCCGATGTCGGCTTGCTCCGAGTTGGAATTGCTGTGATGGCAGTGGGTTAGTTTTGGTTTTTTAATCTGTTGTTCTTATATTCTTCACAATGATCTCCAGTTCCCACTAGCCAGCTCCTCATTGTGCTTTTCTTTTTAAAAAAATCATTTTATTGGGGACACGTACAACTCATCACAAGCCATACAGTCGTCCTTTGTGTCAAGCACATTTGTACATTTGTTGGCATCATCATTCTGAAAATATTTGCTTTCTACGTGAGCCCTTGGTATCAGCTCCTCATTCTTCCCCTCCCTCATGGGCCCTTGATAACTTATAAATTATTATTATTTTGTCATGTCTTACACTGTCCAACATCTCCCTACACCCACTTTTCTGTTGTCTGTCCCCCAGGGAGGGGGGTATATGTAGATCATTGTGATCGGTTCCCCATTTCTCCCCAACCTTCCCCTGACCCTCCTTGTATCACTACTCTCTTTATTGGTCCTGAGGGGTTTATCAGTCCTGGATTCCCTGTGTTTCCGTTTCCTATCTCTACCAGTGTACATCCTCTGGTCTAGCAGGATTTTTAAGGTAGAATTAGGATCATGATAGTGAGGGGGAGGAAACATTGAAGAACTAGAGGAAAGTTGTATGTTTCATCAGTGCTATACTGCACTCTGACTGGCTTGTCTCATCCCCATGGACCTTCTATTAGAGGATGTCCAGTTGCCTACAGATTGGCTTTGGGTCTCCACTCCGCACTCCCCCTCATTCACAATGATGTGATTTTATGTTCTTTGATGCCACATACCTGATCCTATTGACACCTCGTGATCACACAGGCTGCTGTGCCTCTTCCATGTGGACTTTGTTGCTTCTGAACTAAATGGCCACTTGTTTATCTCCAAGTCTTTAAGACCCCAGACGCTATATCTTTTGATAGCCGGGCACCATCAGCTTTCTTCACCACATTTGCTTATGCACTCACTTTGTCTTCAGCAATCGTGTCAGAAAGGTGAGCAACATGGAATGTCAGTCTATAGAACAGTTCTTGCATTGAGGGAGTATCAAGTCTGTCATTTCCAACCAAATTGTGCCCAGATACTAGCTTTGATTTTGTTGTTGTTCCTTCGTTCTCTTTTCTCTTACTCACCTTGATCCTCATTCTTCCTTTCTCCCTGTTTTCTCTCCTTTCTTCAGCTATTGAGCACTCACAATATAAGATACTCATAACAATCCAAAATTGTAAATGAGTATACTGTCATTAATGAGCAAAAATCCCCAAACTTTATTATCTGTTTCTAGACTATTGATAATGGACAGGCTGTGTTTCTTTAATGTTATTTCCTGCGTATATAAATCTTTTTTGAATTCTCCATTATCTACCAGGCACTGAACTGCGCCATGAAGAGCAAAAGGAGGCGAATGGCAAAGTTATAGGAACTGTAATATCTGCAGACACCGTGTAGTTATTTATTCTACCCTACAACCCCACTCATCTGTTAGCCCACCACTCGGCTGTCAGCTATCATGTCTGTCAGTGTTGTTATCCTATGATGGCTTACGTGGTACTAAGATGCTGGAAGCTATGCATGTCAAATGGTAATAGAGTCAACCCTAGTGAACAAATTTCAGTGAAGCTTCCCGACTGAAGTAGGAAGAAGCAAGAGACAATACATTTCTGAGGGGTTAGGTAATGCGAGCCTTATGAATATCGGAAGAACATTATTGTATATAGTGTCAAAAGATGTGCTCTTCAGGTTGAAAGACACTCAAAATAGGGCCGGGGAAAAGCTGCCTCCTCTAATGTCAACCTTACTGAGTGGATGGAGCAAACCTTTTGAGACCTTCACTTGCAGATGGAGCACAACTCAAGATGAAAATAAACAGCTGGGAACATCCATTAATAATCAGAATGTGAAACGTAGGAAATATGAATCGAGGAAAATTGGGAGTTGTCAAAAATGAAATGGAACACATAAAGATCAATATCTAAGAAATAGTGAGCTGTAATGGACTATTAATGAACAAGTTATATGGTCTACCATGCTCGGATAGACAATGTAAGAGGAATAGTGTTGCATTCATCATCGAAAAGAACATTTTAAGATAGATCATAAGGCATAATGCTGTATGCGATAGGATACTACTATACACCTACAAGGAAGACCAGTTAATGCAACTGTTATCCAGTTGTACACACCAACCACTGAAGCCAATGATGAAGAAATTGAAAAGTTCTACCAGCTACGTTCTGAAACTGAACAAGTATGCAACCAAGGTGCATTGATAATTACTGGTGATTGGAATGTACAAGTTGGAAACAAAGAGGAAAGAATAGTAGTTGGATAGTATGGCCTTGGTGATAGACATGATGTTGGAGATCTCAAGACAGAAGTTTTCAAGACCAATGATCTTGGCAGGGTGGGGGAGGAATGGGAAAAAAGAGAAGCTGATACCAAGGGATCAAGTGGAAAGAAAATGTTTTGGAAATGATGATGGCAACATATGTACAAATGTGCTGGATACAACTGATGTATGGATTGTCATAAGAGCTGTAAGAGCCCCAATAACCTGATTTATTAAAAAAATAAAATAAAATAGCATAAAAAATAAAATTTTTAAAAAGACCAATGACTTCTTCATTGCAAATACTTTTTTTCCCAACATAAACTTTACATAAGGACCTCACCAGATGGAATACACTGGAATCAAATTGACTACATTTCAGCCAAACCTAAGCTGGGGGCCAACTGTGGAACAGACCACCAAGTACTCACATGCAAGTTCAGCTTGAGGGGGAACTATGGTGTTGGTGAAGAATATTTAAAATACCGTGTTCTGCCGGTAAAAAAACACATAAATCTGTCTTGGAGGAAGTACAGCCAGATGCTCCTTAGAAGCAAGGATGGGGAGATTTTGTCCCGTACTTTGGACGTGTTTATCCGGAGAGACCAGTCCCTGGTAAAGGACACCGCACACGCGTGGTAAAGTAGAGGGTCATTGGAAAAGGTGAAGACCCCTGATTGGCTGGGTTGACACAGTGGCTGCAAGAGTGGGCTCAGAGGTAATCACAAGTGGGAGGATGACGCAGGACTAGGAAGTGTTTACTCAATGACACCTAACACCTCCCCCCA